CTTCCTGCTCTCCTTCCTGTTTGGGTAATGTTGATTTTCTGCTTGGACTCTCCCTTCTGTTTTTACTCGTGATTGGGCAGCTTGGGTTCCTTCCACAATACTAAATTTGTGGCTTATGACTGGAGGGCCAGCTTGAATCCCTACCACTGTCAATTCACCTGCCCCTTACCTCCTGGTTCATGATTGGGGGGGCAATTTGAATCCCTCCCACCCTCGTCTCTTGGCTCATGATTGGTGGGGCCAGCTTGTATCCATCCCAGTGATATCTTGCCCCCCCCACCTCCTGACTGATGATTAGGGCACCAGCCTGTATCCATGCCAGTGTCTTCCCAGCCCCCTCAGCTTCATGAGTCATTCCATTCACACAGCTCATGATTGGCAAATCATACATTCCTTCCCACCCTTCCCATCATTATAAATGAAAATAGGATTTGTGTCCCTCCCTTTTTCCTGCAATATCCTTCCCTAAGAGCATGGACCTGAGCTACCTTGTCTAATAAATAAACTTGACTCAGGGCTGTTGTACATAGCATTTTATTGAGCAGATATCTCTCCTCAGGAGCACCCTTGTATCTTAGACAACGAGCACACAGACAGCAGAGAGACATGTGCGAAGTGCTTTTGTGTAGCTGTGCTACAGCTGATGCATAGCTGTCTGATCAGACCAGCTGCAGGACTTGGGCAGTTCAATGGCTGCAGTCACACATAGCTGGGTGTTTTTTGAGCTGCACCTGTAGCACAGCTGGCTGTTGATTCCAAATCTGGATTGAGGTAAATGTACAGGTGAAAACCATCCTTGAGCTTCGTCAGGAATTCATTTGGGGATTCTGTGGGATTTTTTAAACAATCTCATATACTCTGTGAAGATTTCACAGCCTTTGGCACTCCTAGTTTGAGGCCATGAATTACAGCATTTCTTGATGCTTTCAGCAGGCGGGCCCCAGCAAGCTTATTAGGATTGGAATCAATAAGTTAGGTTATGAGGGCTGCTGCTTCAGGCCAATCAACTGTTCCATTGCCATCGGCTATTTGTTGAACCCTATGAGTAGTATACCAGGTGTAGGTCTTAGCAAGAGCCTGGCATTTCTCGTATTTGCTTAGGAGGCTGCTCAGAAGAGTGGTAAGTAGTAATGATCTGTTGGATCAAGTCCAAGTACTTCTGAAGGGCCACTCGATATGGTGGAAGATCTTGTTTTCAGTTAAATAAATCAGCATTGAGGAATGGGATATGTTCCAAAACTAATTTATTTCCCATTGGAAGCTCCATTAAGGGGAGAACTTTCTCCACAAGTTTAGGTGTAAAGTGATCTGGGGGCACTCCCTGTGTGGTTTGTTTAGATCAGGGGTCCCCAACCGACGGTCCACGGCCCGGTGCTGGTCTGTGGGCTTCCTTCAACTGGGCCACGGACATGGATCTCCACCCGCCGCCTGCACGCGTGGGGTGTGTGTCATGCTTGCGGAGGGGCATGTCATGCTTGCCCGTGGGCATGTCATGCTTTCACAGCTCCCCATTGGCTGGCTGGCGGGCCGGAGGTGCCTGCTACTGGCCGCTTTGTTCTCTTGGATGGAACATTCATTCGCCCTTGTTGGTCGTGGCTTTTCGGCCCGGGCGGCAGCAGCAAACAAGCAGCAGCAGGAAAGGAAAGGGAAAGGAAGAGAGAGGGAGGGAGGGAACGAGCGACAGACCGTCAAGACTGATGGATGGATGGGCGCGAGATCTCCGTGGCAGGCTGCAAACATAAACCGGGGGGGAGGAGAGCATGCGTGAGAAGGCTGTTCTCTCGGCATCACCCCCTCCCACAGCACAGCTGGGCAGGGAGCAGAGGAGCGCCAGACGGGAGGAAGGAGAAGCGCACGGCCAAGTTGCAATCAGGGCCCCTCCTTCACCTCAGCCGCAGAGAGGACAAGGCAACAGCAGCAGCGGTAGCAGCGCCTGGAGAGGTGGCCTGACAAGGCGCTCAAGGTAAGGGCTCTGCGTCGCCCCCCTCCCTGGCACATCACTGGAACGCTTTGGAGCACCTCACCAGGTGACCAGCGAAGAGTGGCGGGGGTGGGGGGAGAGAGAGAGAGACCTAAAACCAGAAGCCCTGGTGGTGCCAAACCCCTGACCCCGCGAGCTCCGCCGCTTCAAAGGAAGAAGACTGCCGGGCAGGGAGAGGCTCCCCTTCGGGACACATCGGCGCTTTGCGGGGGCAGGCAGGACCCAGCCCCTATGAGGAGGGGAGGGTCAACGGCAGAGTTGCTCCTGTGCCTTCCAGGACCAGAGAGACAACCTGAAGCAGGGTGCTTCTGAAAGTCCCTGATGAGGAAGCCCCGTGCTCGCCAAGTAGGTGCTGCTGCTGCTCCCACTCCCGGCTGGGCTGAAATTAGAAGCCAGGAAGATTTTGAGAGTGGGTGGGCATGTCGCGCTTGTGTGCATGTGCACAAGCATGACACACCCACCCACAAGCAGAGGGGTGCCCCTGCCCCCAACTGGTCCACGCACGGAGTCCACATCTGCCAAACAGTCTGCGGTCCCAAAAAAGTTGGGGACCGCTGGATTAAAGGATAGGGACAACAGGACAACATCGACCTTTCTGCAAATGCAGGTGCTTGGAATTTTGCTGGTTCTTCAGATAAAACAATAATTCAGATAACATGGTATTAGAAACAGAGCTTTCTTAACAGAGTAGGTTGGCGAGATGAGAAAAAAGATGTATTTCCTGTATATTTTTCTTAAGAAAGGAAAGGCTATCTGTTTATTTTAACATTTAAAATAACTCAAGGCGGATTACATCATTAAAAAGACAATATTTAAAAGCTAAAAACATTAAATATACAATTATTTTAAAAGAATTAAACACATATATAAAAAACAGTAAATAAAACCAATATTAAAAATGCATTTAAAAGTGTCAAGGTACAACAATCCGTTAATAAAAAACCCTCATAGCCGTTCAGTAAGGGAAAGCCTGCCTCAAGATCTTTGCTTGTGGAAGGTCAGTAAAGATGGGGCCCGCCTGGTCTCCTGTGGGAGGGAGTTCTAGAGTCCAGGAGCAGCAACAAAGAAAGCCCTCTTCCATGTTGTTTAATGTGCATATCAGATGTCACAGGCATTAGCTTTGAAAGATTTGTGTACCTGGAGAAAAGACATCGGCTGAAATCCTGTTGCTTACCATCGTTTCACTAGAGGAGGCCCATTGAATCAGTGGGGATTTTATTATCCATTTCCTCCATAAATTCCATTGATTCAATTTGGCCTACTGTAGTTGTGACTTATTTTAGCATTTAATGGGCTTACTCTAGTGAGACTACAATAAACAACAGGATTTCAGCCACTGTAAGTGAAGGAAATAGACATCAGTGTGAGGCTATGCATTGCTCTTGGAAAAGTAGCTGTGTTAGTCTGCTTCAGCAAAACAAAATCAAAATATAAATAACAGTATTGTGACACCATTAAAATTAACAAATTTATTTCAGTATGAGCTTTCATGGATTACAAACTGCTTCTTCAGACATGGCATCATATTTGATTATAAAAAACCTGTGGAGAAAAAAACATCTAGTAAAATATTCACAATAGCATATTAAAATTGGAAAGGTTCTCAAAGATTGTGTAGTCCAACCCTCTGTTTAATGCAGGTCTTGCAACATAGGATGCACCCACAGCATCCATAAGAGATTGCTATTCAGCCTCCCTTGAATATCTCCAGTGAAGAACCTCTGAAGGCAGTCTGTTCCATTGTCTTAATAGTTGTCACTTCTAAACAAGATTATTCTGTAGAAATGGGCCCAATTCCCACAACAAGGACTGGGGGAAAAGGTGGCAACTAGAGATGGGTGTACTGTATTTGTATATGAATATCTCCCCACAGGTACAGAGAATGAGGGTCCAGCCCCCTGGGGCCAGACCGACCACTCATGATTCTGCTGCTGCCACAAGCTCCAGGTACTGTATTTGTATACGAATATCCATTCCTATCGCTCCGTTGTTCATGGTGGATTAGCCACCCCTGGCACGATCCATTCCTATCACTCCATTGTTCATGGTGGATTAGCCACCCCTGGCAGAAAGCGGGATGACGAGGTTGCAGAGTGGCTAATCCGTTGTGAGCAATGGGGAAATAGGAAGGCACTTACTACGCACAAAAACATTGCACCTTTTTGAGTTGGCCTAACAAAAGCATTCCCACAATCTGAATTTCACATTTGTCTTCCAGCCAACACCCCTGGGCTCTCCCGGTGTTCAAGGACACCCAGAGGCAAAGGCCCTTTTCCCACAACCTACAACTTGTACTCCAAAAATTTGGAGAAAAAAAAAGGGTGAAGAAAGCAGATCGGCCATCCTGGAAGCTGGCTCTTTCTATGGGCCCTCTTGCTATGGGTATTGGTGGAGCAAAACCTTTCTCCCAGTAAGAGAAGGTAGCTGCATTGGTCCATGCAAGTATATCAGGCAAAATCCAAAGGAACAAAACAAGACAAAAACACGTGGCATCTTAAGGACTATTATATTTAAATGTGAGCTTTCGTGGGCACGTCCACTTTGTCAGACATATAGACACAGAATGAAATGTTGAATGACATTATTTAGAATGTTCTACTTGTGGAACTGACATTTCATTGTATCCATATGTCTGACGAAGTGGACGTGCCCACGAAAACTCACATTAAAATATAATAGTCTTTATGGTACCACAGGTTTTTGCCGTTTGTTTCGTTTCTCTGAGTTTTGCCCGATACGCCCAGTAAAAGACATCCAGCAACCTTTCCTTTCCGTTTATTTGTATTTAAAGAAAAACGACAACAACAAGCAGGCCTCCATTTCGCCCACCGGTGGTTTCGAAGCATTCCCGCCAAAAACCTTCCAAGAGATTCCGTTGACGTTCCCCGCCCCCTCCTCCTTTCCCTCCTCTGCAAACACAGGCACACTCAAACGAGCAAAACGCTCTTAACGCCCTGCTCGCGCGCAAACCCAAAGGAGGCGCACGAGCGGAAGCGCGTGGCCCGCCGGCGCGGTGACGTCGCGCGCGAGGTGAAAGGTCGAACTCGGCGAAGGGGTGGGGCTGCTGTGCGGAGATTCGCGCAGTCGGTCGGAGCGGCCTGAGGCCCATGTGGAGCGACGGCCGTCGGAGCCTCCGCGGGTGCTGCTGAAGCGAGGTCTCGGGGCCCTTGACAGCTATGAAGGGGTGAGTACGGGCCTGACTCCCCCCCCCCCGGCCCCGCCTCACTGCTTGTTTTCCCGCCGTCCGGACCAGCGGTGGCGGCGGCGGGGGGGGGGGCGTCTCCCCGGTCTCCGGCCGGGAACAGCCGAACCTGGTTTTTTTCTCGTCCTCGGGCTTTTCCGGGCGGCGGGGCCTTGCCTTTGTTTCTGGGGCCTAGTCCTGCATGAGGGGAACTCTTTTCAGGCCGTTCCTCCCATATTCTGGGGAGCGGGGAGGGAAGTGGAGACGGAGCGAGCGCCTCATGGTTTTTGGCGGCTCCTGAAAGCGCCGCTTCAGCCTCTCGGAAAAACGAGGGAGAGGGAAGTGTGGCAGGAGAGCGCGGGCAAAGCGGTTTGAATTCGCGGGAGCCTCGCCGCGGCTGGATCTCTGCGTAAGGTGGCAAAGCAGGTCCACATGAGTCATCCTTGTCCGTGGAAGGTGTCGCTCAGCCGCGGGAAGCCCAGCGAGCGCCTCACTCTTAAAAGAGAGCGGAGGGAGGGAGAGGAGGATCCGCCTGACCAGGAAAAGGAAACGCGGGAATCGCTTGTCACCGGTACAAGAAGCTTCCCAGCCTTTCATGTAACTGAAGCCTCCTTCTCTTATCGCGTCTGATCAACTGAGAGAATAAAACATGGCAAGTGATCTAGTTAGGAAAGCTGGGAGTGTATGCTTCCCCAATCAGGTTCTGTTCTTTTTGACATGCTAAATTGGTCTGAGTTCCATGCTTTTATTGAATCAGCTTCGCTTCTCTTGATCACAACTATATTGTGGATATAACTGTTTTGGTCGTTATACCACTGCTCACGTTACAATTAAAATATAAATCAAAACAGAAATATGCATACTGTACCTGCCTAGTGTTAGCTTGACAACATAGTGCTAGCAAATTAGAAAGTACAAATACAGATATATATGTTTGCAAAATACTGGATTAAAAAAAAAACACAAAGTGCCCATATAGTAGTTTAAAAAGAATCTGCTTTTCAGTTACTGTGAGTGCAAAGGAGCAAAAGAGGGAGTACTAAAGTATCTGATCTGCATCTTCAAGTGGCCGGGTTCAAACTCCACTGTTGTATCATTCTCTACATTTTAAAAGTAGTTACAATCAGATTGTTCCCCCTTCTCCCAGTTACATGCCTGAAAAGAGGAATGAGAAACAGCTTTGACATATAACTAAAAATAAAATAAATGGATAAAAAGACAAAAACGTGGTGGCACTTTAAAAACTAACCTAATTCCCTCCAAAATTCGCATTTAAAAATATAAGTCTTTAAGGTATCATCACATTTTTGTCTTTTTATTTGTCCTTTGATGGTTTTATTTTGTTTGTAATAGATATGCTCACATAGACTAACAGCTATCTCTTCTACATCTACAACTTCGACATAGTCCGCAAAGCATTTTCAGTAAAGTACAGTACCTCAGTATTACCACAAAGAGCATGTGCTCACTACAGTGGACCCTCGACTTACAGACAGCTCCACTTACAGACTTTACGAGTTACAGGCTTCTCTGGCCACAAAATTTAGGTTCAACTTGCAGCCGGAGAATCAACCTGCAGACCGGAAAAAAAAATGGAACCAAAACGGCCAGTTATGGTTTAATTGGTTTTCAATGCATTGTAGGTCAGTGGAGCCTCGACCTGCAGCCACCGTCCCAATATGGATTAATTCCGTAAGTCGAGGATCCACTGTAGTTGGTCTTATCTCTCTCAATGTTAGTAAGCTAACATTGGGGATGAATAGGCAGGCTGAATAAATCTGAAGCCCAATCTACTATCATAATCTGTAAACAAAAATGTGAATGGTGTTGTCCTTGACTACTCTCCACAGAGGCCACTCCTTCACATTTCAGCTCTTTGGATATGATATGTCATAGCCATTGAACCTTTGGGAAGGTACTCTAACCTTGGTAGTTGGTGCAAGCAGTAGCTTGCATCCTTTCCTGCCCAAAACTATCTTTTAAAACTAGGTTTGAGGCATTTCTCAGTCAGAACAAACAAATGGGGAGCATTGTGGAAATGACCCACATGTCCCTCATGTTATGTCACTAGCTCAAAAGAGCTGCTGAGTACTAAAAATCTGCTGAGACATCCTTTTGTAGAGCTGTGAATAAAATGGAGAGCTTGGTTTTTAAAAGATGAAATACTGAATGGTGAGTGAGTACTCATGGAAAAAAAGGTGCTTTGTCACAACATATACAATGAAAACAAAGGCCAACATATCACTTGATAAGGATATTTAGCAAATAGGCAAACTTTTCCTGAATGTTCGCTGAGAATATGGTGTTTATTTTAATTTGTCCGTCAGTAATAGTTGAACCAGTATTTCTTTTTTCGTCATTTGTTTAATTCCATATTCAGGTACTCTGATAAATTATGTCAGATATTCTGGCATTCAGAAGAGAGCTTCTAAATCAAGGTTGACAGTTTTTAAAATCTGTATGGGATTTGTTCTCAAACATCCAGTTCTCCGTATCATCTCAGAATAGTCAAACTTGTAACCTAGCCGCCTAGAGTGGTCCTCACCGACCAGATAGGCGGGGTATTAATTAATTAATTAATTAATTAATAATAACCTAGGCATAAACTACATAAAAGATAAATTCAGAAATTTGTATTTTCCATGGTTCTTTGTAATACTGGGTCTTAGAGAAGCAGCAGGGTGAAAAGCTGGTGCACATATTCCTAGGGTCTATGACATAAAGTGAAAATCCCTTAGATAGGGTCTCTGAAAATGAAACAGTCCTTTGCAAGAGTCAGGTTTATTAAAATGGTAGTCAATTCCAGTCCTGGCCTGGAAGTTTTTACACCTGTATGGACTCATTTTGTGGCTATGGCAGCAAAATCTGTGTTACGACAGAAGTTGTATCCAACAATTTTATAGATACACTGCAAACTGTACTATCAGTTGTGCAATCAGACACATAGTACTGATGCTCGGATGTAACTCCCTGTGAACTTCCACAAGTGTAGCTTTGCACTCTGTCAAATGCAATAACATTTCAAGCATAGACAAAACTAATGGGTTTTCTGGTGGGCTATGCCAATCTGTGATGTTGATATAAGGAATTTTTTCAATATATGTGGGCCCCAATACAAGTTATGATTTATTTTAGTTGTGTGTTTTATTATGGTAGGTTATAAAGGTCCTCTGGGATCCTGAATGAGAAATGGAAACTAAATACAGTGGTGCCTCACAAGACGTTAATCCGTTCCACAGAAATTGCTGACTTGCGAAAACATCGTCTTGCGAAACCAAATTTCTCGTAGGAATGCATTGAAAATTAATTAATGCATTCCTAGGGGAATTTTTTTTAAAAAAAAGGAACTTAAGGAGTAGGGAGCTGGGGAAGCACCATGGGAGGACTAGCGGGGGGGTCCCTTCCCCCTGATCACCAGCTTTGGAGGTCCCCCACTAGTCCTCTGATGGTGCAGGAAAAGACTCCAAAACGCTCTAAAGTGGGTGCCCTTTTCCCTTCTGAGGCTTGCCAAAGGCTGGAGGAAGAGGCGGGAACTTTAAAATTGCTTTCAGTCAAGCCTCTGCAAACGCCGATCGCTGCGCAGAGGGACCCGCGCGAGTCCTCCCATGGTGCAAGGTAAGCCCCGGGGGACCCCCAAAGCCAGGGAGTGTGGTTTTGGGGCACCCCTGCCAGGGTTCTGATGGCTTCCCGTGCACCATGAGAGCCCTAGTGGGGGTGCCCCAAAACCACCCGCACCCACTTTAGAGCACTTTGCAGGCTTTTTCTGCCTTTTCAGGAAAAGCCTGCAAAGTGCTCTAAAACGGGCGCTGGTGGTTTCGCCCCCCCCGCCAGTGTTCTGATGGCTTCTCCTGCACCATCAGAGCCCTGGTGGGGGTGCCCCAAAACCACCGGCGCCCACTTTAGAGCACTTTGGAGGCTTTTTCCTGACTGTGCAGGAAAAGCCTCTGAAGTGCTCTAAAGCGGGCGCCAGTGATTGTGGTGCGAAAAAGCCCCATTGGAACAATCGTTTTGCGATGGGTAAAATGAACACAAAAAAACCATCGTAAAGAGATTTCATCGTAAAATGGGGCAACTGTCTAGTGAGGCACCCCTGTAATGTATTTCCTACTTTCTTTTTCTGTTGCTGCCTGTGTTTATTATAATATTTTTAGATACAGTAGAACTGTGGTATAATAAACTCTGTATATAGCATAATCTCTGGTTTCTTCTGATGGCCAGGTATGGTAAAACACCTTGGAAATGTGTATTTGTGGGGAATTTTATTTAATATTTTCAGATAAGTGAAACTCTGGATACTGATCTCTTGTATGTAGCAGTCCTACTGTACTGTTTTTCCTTGGATGATAGGAACAAACACCATATGTTATGTGAATTATAACATTTGTCACAAAACAAAACCTTGGCTTCAGCAGCTTCAACAAGCATCACTTTTCTGTTGCGAGGTGAGAAACAAGTGGCTGATGGGCATAGTTTCATCAGCTATTAGCAGCATAGCCATAGATGAAGAGGTGGCAGGTAGTTGTTGCCCTGTAGCATTTAGAGACCATCAGATTTCCTACCCTGCTCTGTAGTATGAAACTGCTGTGAAAACAACTATATTTCATGTGCATGCCAATAGCTGTGTGAAATACCATGTGGCAAGTTAGAGATCTTTCTCACAAAGTCTGTAGAAGCTCACAATGAATTTTATTTCGACATTTAACTATGCTCTGGTTGATTTGGGTGAGAACAGTTTGCTTTGTTTGTATGTGTGTGTAACATGTTTAGAAATGATTTTCATTTAATTTTTTTTACACCTTTGATATTTCTTCATGTATTTTAAAGAAAACTTTTATAGCTTTTGAAGTTATGCTTTGGTTTTTTTAATGAAACATTTTAGAGATATATTCTCTGCCCTTAGGGTTATAAGCTCCTTTATTCTATATGAATTTTATTCTAACTACAGTTGAAGTGTTGTATTCGAATGAGTTTGCAACTGTTCATACTTGTGAGACTTTGGATCT